GGCGGTGTTCTATCGAAAGCTTCAACTCATCGAAATCTCCAACTAACTCACTTCCGGTGCTCAGAAAGACTAGAGCTCTGTACAGTTGCGGTGCGCAGATTTCGACGAGTTGGAGCTTTCGATAGAACACCGGGATGATCACCACAATGGTGGCAGAGATAAGGAGGAGACATTGTTGATCATGAAAAGGAAAGAAAGACCCAATATTGGGGGGGATGGGGTGGGTCCATGATTCCCAATTCCCACAATGCCGGAGTGGGTTCCTGAGAGGTCAGTGCCCATGCTGAGACTCTGTGGTTTAGGGGTGTTGGAGGACTGCGGTGTCCACCACACACTGGAACTAACACAGCAATGATTAGGGGGCTCCAGCAGGTGAACGGGGTGGAAGGAGCGTACAAACACTGGATGGCACCCCATACCCAGAGATCAGTTCCTTCTTATTGTCACTGACCTGAGCTCCTGGAGGCTTTTTTAACAGGATGGACCGAGGCAGAAAACGGGCGAGCTCGTTGTTGTAGTCCGAGTTGTAGACTCGCTGTGAGGACAACAAAAACCACGAACATCATTAAGAAACCAGACAGAACCTGCCTATACCCTACAATGATGAGCTCTAACAAGATCAGAACTGTAGTCATTTTGTAAATAAAGTCCTTGTTTTCGCCTTCTTTGTTTCATCTCGGTGGTGCTGCTGCTGATCTCCTGGAGCGACTTCCTGTCTGCATGCACTCCAGCGGTGGCTGCATGGCATTTCTCCTGATGGTGACAACAGTGGACCATGTCTGTGTTATGTGAGCCACTTGTAGTCTCCACTGGAAGCCCGTGTGACAGGATGACAATGCAGGAGCACGGTTAGGAGACAAGGACAGAGCATTGTCATCCGACAACAGGAAGTGCCTGACAAGCACCTTCATGGCAGGATCATCTACCAATCCCGCATGAAAACAAACCTTTTTTTTAAGTTGCTGAACAAAACATGTATATATAATATATACAAATAAAAAATAATTCCATATATAATGTGCTTAGAAGGGTCCTTGGTTCAATCAGCGGTCTCCATACACCCACCTCCTGCAGGGGGATCCAGGCTGGGGGGTTCTCATAGGGAGGCAGGAAGACGACAGGATAGGGGTAATCCTCATATGTAACTCGCCCCTCCATCTCTACAAAGACATATAAAAAAATAGGAATTGTAATTCCTTCAACCGTGACACCATCACAGTCCCTCCTCTGGTGTACTTCCCGTGCGCTGCACAAACCCGGAAGTGATGTCAGCGAAAGACAGGAAGTGAGCGGATCATACACAAATTGACATATAAACCAGGCAAAAATTCGATTTTGGTCACCATTTCCCCATAAGGACGTTATATTTAAAATTAATTTGACGGACGCCAAATTCTGCGTACCGACGCCCTCTTTCTGACCGTATATATCTAAATTTGGGCATATTGCCCTCAAGAAAGATGGCCGCCAAATCCTGCGTAGGCTCTTTTTCTGTATCTAACTTTATTATTTGGGCACAGCGCCCTCCACTAACATAGCGGCTAAATCGTTCATCGTGACGCCCTCTCTCTTACCGTATATATATATAGCTATATAAAGGTATAACTTGGGCACAATGCCCTCAACAAAGATGGCCGCCAAATACTACGTTCTCTCTCGCGTCGCCCTCGCCTTGACAGACCCGTCTCTGATGACGTCAGCGGCATTTGATTGGTGTTGGTAATTTGAAAACTTGGCGCTTGCATAGCGGAGGGCGGACGTGTGAAGTGAGGGGAGAGCAGCTGACCGGGAACGCACCGGCAAGGTGAGCCGAGTGTGGGAACAGCGCGGAGCTCAGGGAGGGTTCATATCGTTCAATAACGACCTATGTTGTTTCCTAGCGATGAGCTGTAGCGTATTCCTCAGGCGCGCACTGCGGGTGGGGGATGGGGCCGTATGTACTCCCTGAAATCCGGGCCCTGTGGGGCCCACACCAGCCCTGACCCCACTATAGGAGGGCGCCACTGGCCGTATCTGTACAGAGGTCAAAGAGGACCTGTCATGGCAGCATTTAAAGTGGGCCTGGTGTGACAATGGGCTCTGATAAAGAGATAAAAGGGAAGACAAATAAACAGAGTGGAGACCTCCATCTGTCATGTGACGTGTTCAGTTCAAGTGATTGGATGATAGGGCCTTGTGCTGTCATGGAGAATAAGGTCACACGTTCTGGAGGTACCGGGTGTTATTGGCTGTGGCGGTAAGGTATTAGAGGCTTGGGGGGCACCGAGTATTGTCACTGGCTGTGGCGGTAAGGTATTAGAGGCTTGGGGGGCACCGAGTATTGTCACTGGCTGTGGCGGTAAGGTATTAGAGGCTTGGCCCGGGGGCACTGAGAGGCTTGGGGTGGTTGTGTCCTTAATGGCTGTTTCACATAACTGACAACTGAAAAATGGCTTAAAATAAGTTGTGCTGGAGCGTCCGTCCTCCGCAGCCAGTCCCACCCCATGGTATATGCTGTGACCTGTAATGTAAATTCAGCAGGTTTGTGTCCGTGCAATCTGTAATATGTCTCCTCTGTAGTTTGGAAGGTCGGTATTGTTAGAACATGGGAAAAGATGAAGGGATCCCGGTCCGTGTTGTTTTGAGGTGCCGTCCTTTGGTCCAGAAAGAAGTGAATGAAGTCTTTCCCTTTTCTCTTTATTTTGGCTTTAGATTATTTTCTCATTTGCACATGTTGATGTTTCTGTTCCGCAGGTCGTTGTTGGCAACGATAAAGCTTTTACATACGATTATGTATTTGACCCGGCAACTGAGCAGGAAGAGGTGTACAATTCCGCAGTAGCACCACTTATTCAAGGTTTGTTTAAAGGTAAGTCTAGACTAGAGTATCCTAATAGAATAGGAAAGATGTCTGTGGGTTTGCTCAGTGACCGCAGACTGGGAAGTGGACACTTGGAAATCTGCTAGAATTGTAATTGTGTCCAAAACCGTGTAATGTACCTCAAACGGGGGGGGGGGGGGGAAT